TTAGGGGCTCGTGCAGAGCCCCCCATGCAGTGCGTGGCAGTGGGGATCGCCCCCTGCCAGGCAGGAGCTGGCGAGTCAGGCCTTTGTTTTTTGTTTTAAAGGGCAGCCATGGGTGGAGGGCTGGGACAGTGGGAGGGGGCCAGGAGGCTTATGGCAGAGCCCCTCAAGCAGCATGGCGCAGTGGGGATTCACTCCCCTGCCTGGCAGCATCTGGTATGTGCGGCCTTTTTTTTTCCCAAAGAGCCAGGAGCTGAGGTGGGCGGGGCTGGGACAGCAGGCGGGGGATGGGGCCTGTGTGATTTGGGGATTAGGCTGATTCAGCAGCAACCAAATCCCCGAATCAGATTCGGCCGAATTGATTCGGGGACTGTGATTCGAATCACCAAACCAAATCACTGTCCCCAAAATTGGCCGAATCCGAATCGGAAGCAAATACTAGCCACTTTGCACAGGCCTACTGTGTAGTACCTTGTTGCTACTGCACAGTAGGGTTGGAAATGACCTATGTGCCACCAAGACTGCGTAGTAACAGCGGTTACTATGCAGTCATTCAGTGTTTGCTAAAGCAAGTATTAAATGACAGCACAGTAACAACTGCAGCGTTGGGCGCATGTGTTGATGCACCCCCGAAGTAGCATCGTTGAGCCAGGTGTAGACCCAATGCACACTTAACCACAGGAATTTTAGCAGCTCTGCTTACCATGGAAGTGTAGGTGATCATGGCAACTTGAAAGCCTATTTGGAAGGTCCCACCAATTCCCAGCACAAATATCATTTGAAAGAATTTCTGGTACTGAACCTGCACAGAAGAAAAAAGTGCTCTTTAAGTTTGTGATAACACCAGGCCATTTGTAAACATGTGTTTCATTTTCCAGAGATACACTTTGTTTGCTACTATGTGTCCTACTGGCACCAGAAAAATAGGGAGCAGTGTGGAAGGCATTTGCAGGCTCTGTTGCTAGGCTTTGATTACTTCTGCACCATCACAGACAGCTATAATTTCTGGTTAATTAGCATTACTGTTTCTGTGGTCAGGCCTACACAGTTCTCTGAGTCTACCACCTTTAGACATCTTAGCTTCTCAGGATCTTTGTGATTTGTCATCATGTTGTTTATGGTTCTTTTCTGGTTGATGCTGGATCTGGAAGTTAATTTAGTGAAGAGGATATGAAGACTTGATCTGTAGTAGCCTTTAAGTCAATATATCATGAACTAATACATAGATGGTATGTCTACATGTCACTGTATGGCGATGTTGCTATGGTGCCATGCTTTAGTACTTCCTTTTGGAAGTACTAAAGCACAGTGCAGCATGGGCGATGCGCACTTCAATTTCCCTGCTACGTCATCAGAGCGGCACGCTGTAAGCGGGGAACTCACTACTACGGTGACATAGCAGGTAATCTCATATAGACCCTCGTGATCGCTACGTTGCCGTAGCGCGTTGTACAGTGACAAAGCATGCCGTTATTTTGCCAAAGGGCGATGTGTAGACATGCCCCGAGAGATGGAGATGGGCATGATCCAGAACTGTGACAAATGACAACAGCTCTCATTTTTTTCTTATATGAGGATAAGCTTATCCCTGGAGAGCACCTGCAGGATCTCCTTGTTCTGAAACAAAGGAACTATAACCTTTCTGGGAATATAAATATCTGGGAAGACTTCGGGTAGAAGAGGCTATGAAATGGTATATGCTTTAATGGTCAAATGGATAAAGAAGTGTCCAGAGATTCAGATGTTCTGATGCTGCCTTGAAAAATGGTAGGCAGTTTCTCCGCCTAGTTGATCCTAACCTCTGTGGTTCCAGAAGACAAAAATAAAGCTCCAAGGTTTTGACAGTAGCAAAAATAAAGGATGTTCCCTTGAAGGGAGCATCAGCCTGCTCTCCTTGTAGATGGCAGCCCCTTGGAATTTTTGCATATTTTGGAGATATCTTTTGCTAGTGTCTTCTGACATGAGCTCCTAACACTATTATAATAGGTCTTTTCAGTGTACAGGATGCCCTTTTCAAGCAGAATACACCCCAGAGAGCAGTGGCACATTTGAAGCAAAATGGGACAGACATAGAAAACATATGACATAAAGTCACTGGCAACAAAATGAACTCCTGTCAGATCACTGATGTCTAATTTTGTCTTGGATCAGAGTGAGTTGTCCTTATCAGAATGCTTCAGTTTATGGGATAGAAAAAATAAGGCTGTAAGTACAGTGATCTATGATGATGGTACTGCTAGGTAGGCCACCCAGCCAAGACCAGATGGTACAGGCAGTCCTTGACTTACAACCTTTAGAGTTACAACATTGCACACTCACAATGGTTATAAATTGACACCCTGTTTCAACTGTCTGGTGTCAGTTTTGACTTTATAACACTTGATCTGATGCCAAGCCACGCCAGTGAACAAGTTTGCTGCATCACCCATCTCCCTGGACAACATCTGTCCAAACTTCCTTGGACACTTTATTTAAGAAGGCAGACAAGACTCCAGAAAAACCTGCAGCCAAGACTGCTGAGAAGACTCCAGCCAAGAACCCTTCAAAAAGCCCAACCAAGAGCCTTTCAAAACGTCCAGCAAAGTCTCCTCAAAGAAGTCCTTCCAAATCTATATGATTGCTATTTACAAGATAAATACATGAATGTAGCTATATTACTCATCTATAATTGATTGAGTACAAAATTCTGGGTTATTTTTGGTGAAAATAGGGTATTGGGCCTTGGTTCAGGAACCAATCCCCATTTATAACTTTGTTTCCTATGGGAAAATCCGTTCCGAGTTGCAACGTTTTGACTTAAGAAGCGGATCTCAGGAACCAATTGTGTCGTAAGTCTGAGGACTGCCTGTATAAGTTTATAGCTGTTCATCTGGCAACTCTCTCATCTCACCCCAACTTCAGCAGTCACTTTTGGAATGTAGCTAGTTGGGGGGAAAAAAATCTTTTTCTGTGATTTGTTTGCTAAAAAGGAAAGATTTTTCTCTAGATTCCAAATTGATTCTGAACACATTTTTTGTTTTTGTTTTGAAATGATGTTTTGAAATTAAATAAGAATAGTTTCATTTTTAATTTATGTTGTTTCATTTTCTTAACCCCGGTGAGTTCCTTAAGGAAACGATACTCACGGCCTAAGGGGTGTCCATCCCGACAAGAAGCAAGGGGGGCAGGAG